TGAGGACGTGCGTAGGGTTCCACAAGATAGGGTCCTCCGAACATTTTTTAAATACAATTTTATATCTAATTTAGAAATTTCTAATGCGCACAGAAATTGACAGATATGCATCCTCCCACTATATGTGGGTTGTCTCTATTTTTTTATTGTAAATGATACTGTGCATTATTGCCCTCGCGATTTAGCTCATTATTCAGCGTGTTCGCTTCCTACGACGACCCCGTCTTGGATTTCCGGTCGGCCAAGATTATAATGTGCATTTTCCTTGCACTGTTCCAGGTCTCAGGTTGAGAAGACCAGAATACGGTGTAGGAATGTCCTCATGCTATCCACACGTATCCCACAACCCTTGGCCGCAAGACCGGGACGCTGCTGATAAGCAATGGCCCGTACGTGGACCGTCGCGCCAAGTATAGACAGACAAAGTATTATTTTTACATTATTTAAGCGGATCTTCAGTACTACTAGAAAGCCAATAGGGGAATGTTGCTTCGGTATTGCTTAGGTAAGATATTAATCCGGCTCTTTCCACTGCACGAATTCGTGGAAATTGTAAATCAGCTTTTGACATTATTCTACTAACTAACGAATTGACACCAGGAAAAAGGCTCTATGGTTACTTTGAAAGGTCTTCGGCAACTGCTCATACTGTTCGATCCATGAACTTTAAAAAAAATACTGTTTAAAGTGACGATTGAATAAACACTCATGGATTGTGGTGTCTTAGATCACCTAATCTGACCCCTGGTTAAATTTTTAGGGGGGATACTTGAAAGATCGGATATATGTAGAAATCTCGCGTACGGAGCGATTACTCCGGAGCTCTGTTGAAGAGGAAATTGCAGCAATTTCTCGAGACTTACTTCAAAGGGTAAATCAGAATATCTTCTAGAGGTGCCAAGAATGCATTCGAGCCAAAGTACACCACTGTCATCATCTTCTTTAAGGCAAGGTAAGCGCAGCGATAGATCCCATATGTCAGCACGGGAATTGAGTCAGTGCTTCGGTGGGCGAGCAAGCCCTCGTATTCCCGGCCAACGGCATCTTGAAATTCAGTACAATATAGCGCACCACGAAAGTCTCTCCGCTGTTGCACCTTGCACGTGAGAGAGCTAATTACAGAAATTATGTTCGTAGCACGAGCTGCAGCTTTTAACAAAAGAAAATGTAAATAGCGCACTCACCACAACAACGAGCTATATTATCTCTACCTCGTCGCGCCACAATTGTAACAGGTGCTGAAATTGTCTTCTTTACTTGTTTCCCAGTAATTTTGTTGCTATAAATGCAATTTTTAATACGAGTCCCTGACTCGGCTCGGAGCGGAGACACGTTCCTGGCGCTCTGTAGTAAACAATGCTCTATCTGCTGTCAATCGGGACGGAGGTCACCACGGCGGGAGCACCCAAACTATCTCCAGAGACAGATTATCAACTTTGTCACCTGAAGGCATGCAAAAAATTGCCGATTATTTTTTTTAACAAATAACCCAAGAAAACGTTATACATTATAAAAAGTGTAATTTAAGTTTAAAAATTGCTCATACTTGTATATTTGTGTCTAAATTACCTGCTAACCGCTGAAACTATGTTTTTCCCCACTGACTATTGAAAAACCGCGATATCTGGTGGGAATACTGCTGATATGATTCTTAGTTGTAGCCAACGTTACCAGAAGTTTTAAGAATTCCGATTAAGGTAAATAACTAATCGATGTAGCATAAAGTCTGCTTTTCGGCAATTCTAATTAAATGGTAATTCTATCACCTGAATATGTAAACATCACTCACTTTGACTTATTACAAGTCATAGCAAATGCCATTATCATTCGATCAATAAATTAATTTGAGGGTATTTAATAATTTTGTTCCAAAACTCATAATCGCAAAGAATGCAAATCAAAAAAGAATAATCGCACGTGGAGAAAATATTTATACTCAATTTTAATCCACAAGTTTTGCCTCTCATAAAATTTTGCCGCCATAGGCACATGCCTCCTGTGCCGAAGCGTAAATCCACCATTGACTTCTTCTTTGGTCCTATCTTCCATATACGGAAGTTAGGTGACCCATAACGGCTTTTCTTGGGATAAATTATTCAGGATGGTTTCCCGTTGTCTTCCCTGATATGATGATGATGATGATGATGATAGGGGGTGAAAGGACGATCACAATGCAACCATGCCCGAGGCGGGACTCGCACCCGCGATCTTTCGGCACGAGATCGCTACGGCACTACTGCCTTAGCGATCTCGGTCACCGGATCGGCCCACCATTGACTACCTCTCTACAAAGGGTCGTGGGGTCAATTTCCTCGAATGGCTGAGATGTTTTCTATTCAATATATCGGCCAACAAGTCTAATTCTCACTACGTGAAAATAGATCAAAGACTTCCGACATTTGAGTAAATTGTAACGACATGATTATTACTGTTGGGATAGACTTCGTGTTCCGAAGTGGCCAAAATAAAAGGAAGAAAATTTTCTAACGAGGAATTTTTATTTTCCAATTTGCACGTTAAATTATTTTTGTTTATCTTACTTTGAAAATCTAACAATCAAATACTATAAAGCTGCAATAAACAGAATCGTTGTAGTTAAATTCTAATTATGTGAAGTTCTAGAGAGTAAACAAAAATGTTACAAAATCGCTATAGGTATTCTTTGTACGCATTTCCAAATTATTAAGGCGTCCGCTGTATCATTGTTAAACAGAATTGATTACTATAAGTACTGATTACTAAAGTACCATTTTCATCTTGAAGAAGCTAGAACATCTCGACATTGATATCAAATCTACGTCACCTTCAGAAACTTCACAAGAGACAGGCACTTAACATAATCACATGACCATTAGAAAAATTCCAATGTAAATTCTGTATCTGTATCTTGCAACACATGTTCCCGGTTTTCCATTTAAGATATATTGAAGGTTGTGAATGAAAATTAAATGACTTTTTGTTAAGCGTGGTTAGTTCCGTACTTGTCTTTCCACATCAACTTTTCGGATTCTGTAATATGCAATTGAATACTATTAGTTTCGCTCTTCTCACATTTAGCCAATCTGAAAATATGAGATGAAATATAAAGTAAACTTCGCGGAGAGATGAAGAATTGAACATTCCCTTTATAAACATTAAGTAACAAACCAATGTCATTCCTGTAATCGGAGAATGCCGATGGGGGGGGGGGAGGTGCAACTCTGAATCCCAGAATAAATTGATAAAGACAAAATAATTGAAGAAAAATTTTATACGTTTAGTAATTGATTTAACATGTTTATCAATACATTACAAGCATTTTCAGCACGTTTGTGTTAAAATATTTCAGGTTTTTGAGGTACAGGAAAAGTATAAGTATTTTTATCATTGGCCATGCGGTCCTTTCGTCCGATAATAAAATAAGTTTGGGACGAATTTATGATCAAACGTCTAAAACGTGAGCAGCCAAGGTGGTTGTAAGATAATCAGAGATCCTACGAAGCGTTTATGCAATAGGACGGTTTTGAATTTTCTGTTAAAATCTGGTAAGTCTCCAATATATACTTGAGGTAAGAAATATTATAATAATAAAATTTATCAAAGATGAAGCAGAAACTCCTTACCCAACTGAACATTAACGAAACAATTACCACTCCCACAGGTGTGCTACTGCTAGGGGCTTGTTAAAATAACGAGTCTAAACAGGCGGACAGACATACAATCTGTTTCGCATGGTTTGTTCAATGGCCTGATTTGCAAAACATTAATAGTGCGTAATTGGAAAATGACGTCCTAGAGCTACGAACCTGATTTACTGAACCGAGTAACTCTTATTTCTCTCAATCTGTAAATAAAAAATCTGGTAAATGTCTTATTTTTAGGAGTGTATTTATGAGAGATCGGTTCTTCTGAGTATTTCAAATTGATGTAAATGGTGGTCAGTGCTGTAAAATAGTGTTTTACTGGCATGTTGATAAATGTATATTCTATTTGAACCCTGGAAATCCTATAAATTGTATTATGGAATAATTGAAGAGCGGATATATGAGCTGTCAAAATATTGTATTTTTTCCATTTCTTAAATGCTCTATATTTTATAAAATGGCTCTGTTCCCCTAACTTAGTATCATTTTAAGTACTGTTAGGCGTTTTAAGAATCGCGTAAGTCAATTGGGAATTCCAATTTGTGAAGAAACTTTTAAACGAGGTCACTGACGCACAGTCACGATTTCGTGACAGAGACTATCGTGATTGTGTGACAACCATTGTTCTTTTCCCTCATTGAATACAGAGAATCTGTTGCTCATTCGCCCGTGGCAAATCTATGAAATCGATCAGATTGAATTTTGTGATACATTAACGTTCGAATGTCGACTTTTAGACACTCCAATTTCATATCTTACTACGATGCGTAATAATTTTATCTAGACATCTGTGATGGTGATGCGCATTGTTAATGCACATTGCGTTTAGAATTAATCGATAATCAAAGCTATGATCTCTGATAACGCACCATGTTCAGGAAAAGCCAGATATAAAATTTCCCTTTTGTGGCTATTCGAAATGTCAATGTTTATCTTTGAAGGTAAAACATGTCGAGAGCATGCCTGAATGTGAGACCTAAATTTAAATATTTACTGTGATGTTACAATTTTACAATTTCCATTTCATGATAGAGTAAAAATCACCCATAAAAATCTCCCAGTATAAGCAAATGATTAACATTAAATAAAAAATACCGGGATGAAAGTAAACTTTTCTCATAAGGAAAATTTGAGCACAGCGAGATGACGTCATTGCTCTGTAAAGCTTCAATATCCTCTTGTAGCTGAAGATTGTGTTATCTTTCTCATCTCTGCAAGCAGGTGACAATCAGTTCCGCACAAACGCAACGAGGAAAACTGAGGATTTATTTTTGTCATTTTTTTCCTCTTCGAGTGAGAATCTACTAATCAAATATTTACATCGATTTCATTTGATTTCTTCCTGGAGATCGCTATTATGAATGCACTTTTTTTTTGTTACACACGTTTCATTTTAGTAGTAACACCAACATCACCACATGTTTCCAAGGTATTATCTTGATGATGATGATGATGATGATGATGATGATGTTGATGTGACCCATTTTTGATCCATTCTGGGTCGTGCGCGAGAGGCTCTACCTGCCCCCTTTTAGTGTCAGGTGATGAATGTGGTAACTTTCCGTTGCTCTCTACTCTGTGGATGATGGAAGGGTGATACCGCTGAATGGAATTACGGCTCATTGAGGTACGTGGAGGGCCAGGCAACATCTGCGAGGTGAAAACCCCCACCCCACCCCACACTGAAATCCACCGCCTTAGAGATTTGGCGTCCTTGTTTCATTATCTTACAGTAATATCGGCTTTCACATCGATAAAACTACGTGCTGGCACTTCTTTTTCGTTTCGTTTTTACTTTCCCGTATACGTAGGTATATAGGGAGTAATATAGGATATGTCCGTCCGTCCGGTGTCTGTGAACATTGCTGGCGCCTAAACCATGCATAGGATTTTTACCCAAATTGAAGAAACCTGTCCATCTGGCTCGAGACAAAACTTTAAGATTTTGAAAAAGTCTTTAGAATTTGGAGATAGTTGTAGTCCCCTGGACATTTTCAAAATTTTCGCAAAAAAAAGCTCCAATTTTTTCTTTAAATTTCTTTTAAGAATAGAGTAAAAGAAACCTATAAAGATGGAATAGGTCCGATTTGCAGGTTTAACATTAATTTTTCGAAAATGTCAAAATTTTTCGGACCTCTTGCTACAACAACAAAATATAATACAGAGCTTTTTTTGAAGTAAAGTTTATTCTCTGTAGTGACGTATAAGGTCACGTACATTTTTTTAAAATTTTAATAGTTTTCGCGCAATATTGCGTGCAATATGTGCAATTTCAAAGACTTTCACAAAAATGGCTACTGGCAATTTTTCCTTTAAACTTTTGATAGTGATAGTGATAAATATACTGTATAAAATTATATAAACGCCATATTGCTCTTTTATTTCATTTTTTCAAAAATGATAAAAATGTAACTTTTTGACTTGCCTATCACGTCGTTAGTATTTATGCTAGCGGCAATTTATTCATGTTATTATATTTATGAGAACATACACTTTAAATAATGTCAGAAAAAGATTCTCGAAAACTCTACCGTTTTCTGTGAAAACAATCTCAAAACACCGCAGTTTCAGAAACACTGAAACGCAAATTTTTGCAGAAGACTGCAAATTTCTTTTACAATAATTTCGAACGAATAATGGTAATTGCTTTATTTAATATGATGTAAGGTTAATTTTGTTTGTTTTTTAAAAAATTACACAAATGTTTTTTTAATGATCTCTCACGCTGTTGATCCGCACATTTCATGCAATTTGAAAATACTATTTTAGTTGTGAGTTACTGTACTTAAAATGACGTTTCGTTGTACTTAAAATGACGGACTTCAAATTACGTTTTTCGAAATCTCAAAAATATTCTGTAAAAAAGAGCTTCCAATTTCGTATTTGCAGTGGCGGTTAAACGGCAGTTTTTTGAAAACGGATGCAAATTCTTCAAAGGAAATTTTCGATTTAGAACGCGGATTTACTGATCTTTAATACTATTAAAATAATATTTCCGATCTACAATTAGAAAACCGAAAAATTAAGAAAATGTCATAAAAATGTACTTTGAGCGACGGACTTGGCAGCAGGCGAATATGCGGCAAGTTCGAATAGATAACCGAGAGCAAAGGAAATAGAAAACTAATATCCGAAAGTATGTGCCATTCTGTAGCAACAACTAGTTTCCTTTTAATTTTGAATTGAACTAAATTGGTGCATTTATTGGTTTTGTTTAGGATAAATTTTCCTTTCAATATTATATATACATATACTATTTTGGATATTTCCAAATCTCGTGTTTCAGTTTTTCCACGCTGTATTGATGATGAGTACAGTACATACTAGTATAGTAACATATGCTATACAAATACATTTTCTACATTTATTAACTACAAATGTTCCATGTTCAATGTAACTGAAGGTCATGATTTTATTGTTTCACAATATCTGATATTATCTGCAAACTTTATTAAGGTTTTGGTTTCTTGTTGCCATTAAATCGCATGACTAATGAAATTAACAAGGGCAAATAACTTAAGGAGGGCTATGTATAAGAATCTCACTCTGTATCTTGAATATAAACTCATTGGTAGAGTCAATAACCTTCGATAAGATGGTAGCCAATAAATTAGTTTTAGATAAACGACTTGATAAGAATATTTTTAGCGGGAAGATATAATACACATAATCCATCTTTATTTGACGAAAACTAACAGAACTAGTGGTGCTACAAATGGCACATACTATTGTGTATTAATTTTCTGTTTCCTTTCGTCTCGTCTATCTATCCGGAAAGCCGCAAACACTTGCCAGCTGTCGCCAACCAAGTACATTTTCTGGATATTTTCTTCATTTTTCAGTTTCTTAATTGTAGAACAAAAATGTTATTTTAAGAATATTAAAGAACAGTAAAATCTCGTCCTAAATGGCAATTTCCTTTGAAAAATTTGACGCCATTTTTAAGAAAATGTCGTTTAAGCATTACTAAAAATGTGAAATGGATCTTTTTCACAGACATTTTTCGAGTTGTCGTAAAACTTTATTTGAAGTAATTTAAAACACTTCAATCCACAAGTGCAATAGAGATTAAACGTAGGAAATGTGCATATTAATGGCGTGATAAATATTTAAAAAAATACATAATTGTAATATTTGAAAAAACAAAATAATACACCAAAATGAACTTTACATCACATTTAACTGTGCAATTAGCATTATCTGGGCACAAAATGTGCTCACTTTTTCAAAATATGAGTGTGCTTTGATTAAAATGTAGTGTCACGAGCTTCAAAATTATCTGCTGAAAGAATAGGGGGACACTGTCTTCAAATAGGGAGCATCAATTTCAAAACTTTTAGTCATATTGAAGTTCCCGATTAGATGTCAGTGTCGCCCTCTCTTTCAGTGCATCAATGCATCAGTGTTGGAGATATTGATTAGAGTAAGCTGCATACGAAACCGTACACCTGGTTTTGGTGTCGTCGTACGGATATCAAGAGTGTGCGAGATGTCATGTACGAGAAAATGTAGCAAATCACTCGCCCCCAGAACATATTAGATGACAACATCGTCCCTGGATTGCCTGGACGTCCATCTGAGATCATGCACATGCAACTAGTTTTCCATAAAGTTTTCTTAGTCAAAATACCCTTCACACCTAAGCATTCTGCATCTCGCCTTTGGTAGTTTTGAGTTAAGAATCCGTACACTCTAGACCTACAGGGATATGGTGTAGTGAAGTGTCATGGAGCCGTGCTGTGATAATAACTCAAGTTTGTGTACAGCACAGTGAGCAAAGCGCAGCACGTACTGCAGCGAAGGTGGAATCAACTCCAGGAAAAAAAATTGAACATCGATGTCCAACGATGAGAGTTTCCTTCTGGTGTAAATTCATAGAAGATTGATCAGAGAAACTATATTCAGAATGCCATCCAAATCATTGTTGACATTTGTGCTGGTTCAGAACAATATCCTAGTCCACATTCCGGTAATGCAACCTAATATACTCTTCAATTGGTCAACCTTTCTTGGCCATCCCTGTAAGCATGTTTCCCCATAGATTCATGTTGTTTCTTATCCCATCCAAATATGACTCTCTATGTGGAGCATATTTGGTATTGGGATGTATATCATCTAGTTCGATCGTTGAACGAATGTTTACTATGTGAGCCTCGTAAATGCAAAGTGCTTGGAACTTTGATCTGTTGGAGTATTTTGGTTACGTCCATGATCGTTTCTACGCTACCAACTTTGTTGCATAGAGTATACCAACAAGACACTGAACGAGATATTAACACAGCGATAGTAAAATTTTCGGAAAATATGTTAGTGTCAGTGTTCATACTCTGTGTTAGACCTACTATATGAACAAAATAAAAAATTGCCTCTACCGATTATGCCTTTACAGTTTCGGTCTCTTGTAAAATGTTCGTCAAGATGATATTTTTCCCTTTCTGACCGTATTATGCGGAGTGTTTACTTTTGATCAACGCATAAGTTAATTTGCTTGGTAAAAAACCAACAGCACATCATACAATTCAATTAACCTAATTTTAACTTATCCCGGGATGAGTGACAGAAAATTAACATTCACTTGCTAGCTATTTTCTTTGGTAAAATAATTGCGTATTCAGGATTCTAAAATGTAAGGTTCTTCCTTCCATGAGAATCTTCCCACTTAAATGATATCGCACGCTTCCGCGGCCAGAGTCATGATCTAGGCTATCCGGGTGACGCCGCAACGATGGCTGAGGTGCCGATTTTTCGACCGACATATCGCGGTCCTCTTCAGGGGTGTACTGACCTGCCCGTAGTATAGCCCTGAAGAGGGCCGCGATATGTCGGTCGAAACGTCGGCACCTCAGCCATCGTCACTCGGACAGCCCAGATCAATCTTCCCACTTCTTTGTATTCCCGATTCCTGCTTCAGGATGAGCATAGTGGGTTTCAATCCATTCATTCAATTTTCTAGCGATTTCAGCCGTTTCTCTACTCTTCTCTACATTGTGCTCCAACTAAGCTAGAAACCTCACTTAATCTTCTAAAACTTATCATTAGTGTAACATGCAATATATAAACAAGCTCCCCGTCCGTTGCGGTATGCTGTGTGGCGCAAAAAGTACAATTCACAAACTCCTTCAATTTTCCTCTTTCCATATAAAACGCTATGTGTTTCTTGAAAACGCGTAATTACAGAATTTTTTTAGCCTATGGACGTGTAAGGCGGGATGTAAATGATTTTCTCTACTCGAGAAAGTACTCCGATTCAGGCAAAAATAGATTTAATAACTGCATTTTAATATTTCATAAACGAAACGTTTGTATACTTACAATGTTTTCCAGTTACCTCTGTTATATTTTAAATATTCTCTTCGACTAGTGTTCGCACAATTCACTTGAAACCTACACGTTATAATACCGAATTTTGCAAAGAACTTTACTATCATAATAGTTTTGCATTCTTCACCTATATTTCTTTAAGAGACATTAGTTTTTATAATGTATTCACTCTCACACACTTTCGGCCATTCCTGATCAAATATGATTTTCAATATAGCCTCGATATGCTGCTTCTTGGCGAATAGAACATTTCATTTTTGCGAACAGGAGCACTCATTGCAAGTTCGGTTTCTGGCAGTGGCTTAGCAGAAAGTAGCGTCATTCTCGAGTGATTTACTGGCAAAATTTCAAGTTTCGGACAGCTCCACCCGGAACATTAAATAATAAGTAACCAATATTTTCAATATGCAACATAATAAATCTCCCTCATTCATGAGTTATGGAATTCACCAACAGAAGCTTTCGCTTGTGCATCCTGAAGCACCGATGCCTCAACGGCTTTAGTTTGTTCTATTTGAACAGATACCTCAATTTTGAATCACTACCCCCGCCGTGCTTCATTTTTAAACATTTTGGTTTGTATTTGAGATAAGGACGGAGGACTTAGAAAAGGCACGAGCGGATAAAATTTATTAAAACAGTTTCCATTTCAAGCCGATCTATCTTACGCAAGTCCGCTCACAGCTAGAATTAAACTTTTCGCTCGGAGGTGGTTGTGTACACTGGCGGATAGCCTCTCGTCTGATGCCTACCGATGCCCTTGAATTGAACGCTTTTTTTAAAATAAATGATACTGGGGACATATGATATTGCCTTTATTATAAAACGGAGTACGTTTAAAAATCATTAAGAAAAGAAGCCTACAATTACGTTTACCCAATATACAATGTTAGGCTATTATGAGACGTTTTACACATTCTTAACTACTAGACTATCTCCAAATGTGTTTCGGTTTTTCTACAATGAGCATAACGAGTTTCATTGAGCTCCTTACACCCTGTAGATTTTTGGAAAGTTGCAATGTAGAGTTGACAAGTCCACATGTTGGTGAAATGTGAATGCCTCAGAGCGAAACTCGAGGTGAAGACCACCGCGCCGACTAAATAGTCAATGTGAGTGCGCGCTCGCTAAGAGCGACATATTGATTAAGAAGTACGCCGACAGTTGGCAAACCAAGAGGTTCGCAAAGAATAGCGCCGACCATTTAACTTCATTCCATCTCCTCTGAGTAAACGCACTCCCGTAAGCTTTCATGCTAATGAATACACTGTTGAATGTATCGACCAATCAAAAGCGAAGTGCCTGGCAGAGGCGTCTCTAGAAATTAGGTCGCTCATGGCAAGCATAGAATTAGCGCCCCAGTCAGGACACTTCAAATTAGGGTTGTTATTTGTTTCAGCGGGCAATAGCGCCCTTGTGAGTGGCACGTGGCATGTCTGGCCACAGCCGTGGCTGGCTGCTCGCTTACCTCATGGCGCGCGCCATCTTCTCGTAGGTCATGAGCGGGTTGCCGTGGCGCCGTCCCCACAGGCGCGCCAGCCACTCGGTGTTGGTGATGCGGAAGAGGCCCTCCTCGCGGCGCACCCAGTGGATGCAAGGCGCGGGCGCGGGGGCGGCGCGCGGCTCCTCCAGCAGGTTGAGCAGGAAGCGCCACAGCATCACGCGCTCCACGCGCCCTGCGCCACACACCACCACCCCGCGCCGCGCCCTCAGTCGCCGCCCTCGCCACGCCACGCCCCCGCAAAACTAACGCAATGCCCCGTTCGGAAATGGTCGCGTCTTAGGATGTATAGGAGCAAGTGCTGTTATTTAAAGCGAAGTTCTTGTATATTTCAGGGCCGAATTCACAGTTCAAATTCTTACAGGAAAATTTCTATTGAAAAAAAGGTTTTTCTCTTATGAAGGCTCTTTTCAATTAAACTATTACGAGATAGAAAAAGGTAAAAAATGTGAAATATTTACTTTTGTTTAGAAAACAATATCTCTTTAAAATAATAGAGTAGTGAATTAACGTGTTCAGGTATTATTTTAAATTCACGTAAATTGTAAATCACGTAAATAATACGTGAAAGAAAACTTTCCCATTTGTTAATTGAGTCGATCATTAAATATTACCTTCCAAAATTCCTTGTCAGACCGGTTACTGAGTGAGGTGTGTATGTAGTATCTGTGTTTGTATTACTGATCTGTTTTTTATGCCCAGAACAATGGTACAGACACCTAGATGAGACAAGAACTAACACGGTTATAGGCATAGGAATGAGACGGGGCTAAAGAGTACCTCAGCGTGGTGATTAACAAGCACTAGAGGGTTTTTCATTGGGATTATCCCAAAGAAGGCTCAGGATACCGCGACAAACCATGGTGGAACCCTTAGATGCGTGGAGGTGCAAACTGGGAAAAGAGTGCGGCTAAATCGAGAGTTCAGACCTGACTAAAAAGAAATTGCAAGTAACTAACATCGTAAAGCTTTTAGTCTATAGCAGTAGTAATTGTATCCTGGAATTGTAGATTGATTACATGGACTTGCCTCAATCTACTTTGGATTCTTAAAATTTCTTACATTCAGTGAAATATAAAAGTGACTTTTACAGTTCTGATGTTCATACCGCTGATACACAATAGTTTTACCCACAGAAAGATTTTTTGAAAATAATTTGGAAAAATAGCCACTGTGAAAATCGTGGAGACACTCTAATATTTCCTATCGGTTACTTATGAAGCTCGAAAATAAAGTAATAAAATAATGAACGCAATACCTACCGCAATACTGTGCAGTAATGTATTGTTTTGTGGTTTAATTTTTCTTTTCTTCGAAAAGATGCGGTTCCAAATCCAGTGTATTAACGTTGTATGTTAGAACTTAGGAAATCAAATACATTCTGTTAAGGGATTACTGGTTTAGTTAATATTTTGGAGGAGAATTACACGGAAGTAGGGAATGTGAGACCAATAGATTTTCCAAGTTCAGAAAATAAAGCAGGATAGCCACTTATTTTCTGGAGCAAATACCCCCGACTTTTTCCTATTTTCCATTACATTTTGTTTGTTTTTAAGTGATAAGACTTGTAGAATATTTTACACTAGTTTTAAAAACTACTGAAGGAAGCCAGATTGTAAATTATCAGCTCTCTGATTTCACCGTGACCGTATAAAAATTATAAAAAAACAGCAAATAAAAATTGAGTCATTTTTATTTGGTGGACTATTATTTAAGGAATAAAATTTAGTCACATAACTGTCTCAATTTTTTCGCTTACATTTAACAATTCGTCTACAAATTCCCTGCCATTTCTCTACCTTTTCCATAATACAAGAACTTCTAATTTTTGCCTTGTTTTTCAAAAAGTGGCCACCCTGTAAAGAAAGGCTTGTTATCTATACTATCAGATGAACTACTGGTGAATCTATTTATTTCATCTGATGTACAATATTTTTTAAAAGAACTATCTTTATAGAAGAAGAAATGTAATAGAGCGTAGAATTAAATTTCGGGCATGTTTGAACTTTGGTTAACTTTTATTTAAAATGAATTGGTACAGTATTTTGTATCACTCATAAACTCATAAAAGTCTTCTAATATATACCTGGTATTGATATAAATATGTTCGTTTAGTGTAATACTTGGTATGGTGTGTTTAAGTAAGTATAAAAAAAATGACATCACTTTCTACGAGTAATAATGTAATATGTATATTTTTTTTGTAATACTGCATTTATTCTTTTACTTATTGCAAATTAGTTAATAGTACACACAGCGTAATAAAGTATGTTATTGTGCATGAAAAAAAGTAATATTTTGATGGTGTTATGGAGTCTTATTTCACGATAACCATAAGTCATTCATTTCGATATTCTGTAGTAACAAATCAGCGTTTCCCAAAGCTCTGATACATTTAAAATTTTAAAATTTAAGTTCTTTGAAAGCAGATTATATAATAAGATTTTCCTCAATCATTGTGATTTGGAATACTCATTGAGAAAAGAAGATACGTATCACAATAGGTCCGAAAGAGATTATATATTCAGCTCTTTCTCACAAAGAATATTCTTTCGTTTTAGCTAACCCTTGTCTTTCTTTAAAAAAACACGTATTAATTTAACTATGGAATTACACGAACTCGTGTTGTTGATTACTTTAATTACAGTGTTACCGAAAGGACCGGCCAAGAGCTGGGAAGCACGAATTCTTACTCCACCCGCCCCTGAGAAACACCTCATGCCGGAACAATAGGTCGGTGTTACCCTGTGATTCTCGGAATTATTCGAGACCTTTTATATTTTCGGGCCTAACCTCTCAAACTCGAATCTAGCTATTATATTCAGCGGTGAAGTTTACTTTATCATTATCATAACTAATTTATTCAACTTTCTTTATAGATACAGCTGATATAGATTCACCCAATCATTACAAAAATTTTCAATAAAACCTCCACTCCCCTAATAAGTATTCTCTATTTCCTCAGCTTTCTTTTCTCAGTTACACTATTTCCCGTTCTTCACGTCCCCATCTTTTGTATCATCTTACCTTTCCCTATTAAATTTATTCATCATTATACCTTATAGACTATCTCTGCCTGTCTTCTGTCTTTACACCATCCTGTTTCCTCTCTGTCATTATTTTTCCCTCGCTTTTTTCATAGTCACATAATATCCCTATTTATCATTGTACGCCTCCGTCCATTATTTATTTTCCAAAACCTCCCGTAACCCTCGACCAAATATTTCCATGTGATCCCTCGATCACATGTTCCCTTCTCGGTACATCACAACCTTCTATTTTCTTAAAGAAACACTCGTACTTGGACTGTGTAATTCTCTCACAAAAGTCCTGTTGTTCTGTGTCTCCCTCTCTCTTTTTAACAACCTCTTTTATATTAACAGCTCTCTCCCTTAACAATTTTACAGCTCTTGCAGAGTGTCCTCTTTTCTCAAGGAACTTCTCCCTTTCCTCCCTTTCTCCCTAGATCTCGACCTACTGACGCCAGCTTTTGTCGTTTTACATTTTATAGCGTACCCTTCTCCTCTCTTTTCTAAAATCTTCTTATACCTTTTACCCTAATACTAGTATTCTCGCCTCCTCCCAAAACTTACTTCTCCCTGTTTCCTTTCTAAGTTTTTGCCATGGCATGACCTCTAATTCCAATCAGTATTTTTTTTTGACAAGCTTCTATCTTTCTTACTGCCTTCTATTACCACCCTTCTGCTCCCCAAAATGATACTAAGTGATCACATGTCCTAACCATCTGCAATCATTTCATACTAAATTTTCTTTTAAAAAATCTCGCATACCTCTCTCATTACTATTCTGCCCTCTCTCGGTGGATCACGTCATCCCTTTAATATACATCCTGAATATTCCTTTGCCTGTGTGGTGTTGAGAGTGGCGTTTGGGAAACGCTGCGTTAGTGGGCCGAGTCCCTTGCATTACCTGCGTCGAGCTTGGAGGGCGCCTTGGCGGGGCGGCCCCGCTTGCGCTTGCAGGGCTGCGCGCTGGCGGCGGCGGCGGCGGGAGCGTGGCCGGGAGGGTGTGGAGCTGGGGGCGGGGCCGGGCGCCGGCGCGGGGGCGGGCGCTGGACGACGTGGAGGAGGCGGGGCTGAGGCGCGCGAGGGCCGCGGCGGCGGGCGCGCCGCGGCGCGGACGCCAGCGACGCCGCGCCCGGCGGGCTGCGAGGCGAGAGCGCTTGAGCCCGGAGCGGACGCCGGGAGCAGGCGGCGGCGGCGGAGGTGGGCGGCGCCGCGCCCTGCTCCAGCAGCTCCAGCACCGCCATGGCCAGCAGCACGGGCGGCGGCGGGCGCGGCTGGCGCTTCTGCAGCGCCGGCAGCACATCTGCGCACACGAGCACAACCCTGCAGTGGCCCCAGCCGTCTGCTGGGCTCATTAGCTCCGTAAATGCACCGAGGTCCGGCGCCGACTTAACAATCGGTTTGCCTTTTTTTACCCAATCAGGCATCTTCCACCTGCGTGGCACCACCCCAGCCGGAACAAGCTCTAGGCTCCTGACTGGTCTCCCAGGCCTGCGTGGCATGTGTGGTACGCATGTGCGGAAGTGTAGCGCATGTGTGTGTGTGTGTGTCTGTGTGTGTGTCTGTGTGTGTGTGTATGTAATGAGTGATGGTAGGACAAGGAAAAGCGAGGAAAGATCGTGCGCGGTCTGTTCATAAGGGATTGCTTCGGTATTCGCCTGGTGTTTATCGGAGAAACCTCGGAAAACTACCGATCATACCAGTTGGAAGCTAGAAATCTCCAACCGACAGCGGCTGAATTCGAACCAGAAGTTGTCAGTCTGTTTCGACCCCCCCCCCGTCCCGATAATCCCCATCAGAGACACTGTCGTAGCATTAGTTGATACCACTTGTGCCGGTCCATGCAGTGGCGAGGGCTATTGAATGACGAGGCTATGTAGGGATAGTTCAAAAATTCATATTTTTATTTACGTATCTAAAACGTATGCATTACACTAATACACAACGGCCGAAAAACAATTCTGGATAGGGATTGTCTACCAGCTGCGTTATAGCTTCGCCACATCGTAGAAATTCCCCACTTTCCTCTCTCTTTTAGCCAGGAAGTACACAGTGCGAAATAAAGTGTAGCTCATTGAACACTCTCATCTAATATCAGGCTCATCATTGAGATGACCCCCAAAAATTACGACAACTTCAAATCAATAAACTAGGAAAGTTGTGGATTGGATAAAATATTTTTTTCTGGGGTTGGACATCTTTGGTCAGAAGATAAATAACGGAGGGGCCTCATCCGCCGTGGAGGAGACCAAGATTTTAAAGAGTAGCACAAAATGTGGCTAACGAGAAATTAGTGACTTCAATGAATTTGGAATTACAAATTAGATTTTTAAATTTGGCCAGATTATTCGAAATCTGACACTTTTTTAAGTAATATGTTAAGTTCAAACGGAATGCAATAGCAACTACTTTCTGAACATGATCTCACAATCATTTATTGTTAATTCTTAATTGTCATCTAGAAATGCAGAGTACGTTAAGAAACCCAGTGTTTAAATCAACATACGTTTTTAGTTGAAATAACTCTTACGAAGGATTAAACGGAAAATTTTGCGTCAAAGCCTACAAAGAGTTCTAAAATCTTACTCTAATTCAGGTACTTTGACATTGTGTTTGGAAGGTAGAAAGTAGAGATGCGGCGGTCTCCCATATTTGACTGGACGAGAAAATTATTCCATTGAGACAGAGATACCACAAGTTCATGACTAAATTACATACGTATGTGGTTTACATCAGGCCTCAGCATCCAGGAAATCGCAACGACTTATGAAAGAGATGTGGATGAAGAAAGAACAAACGATGTAATATTGCAAAAGTATTCGTTTTGCTTTACCCTTCAGTGGAGGGAGGATGGCAGAAAATTGTTTGCATTGGACGGACGGGAGGATCTCGCTTTCTTTGAAAATGTTCGTAATATAGATGCGCCAGGCGTCAAACTCCCTTTCAGTTAAGTAAGAAAAGAATGCCATGCCGTAAAAACTCCGTGTTAAATGAAGTACTAAGTAAATGAATAAATAGTAACTTACGAATACCTTTAACAAGTAGTAATCAAATATATAGAAGAGTTTTTCGAATATAAATGTTTTTTGATGAGGAAAGGACAAGCAGTGATTCGAAGATTGATGCATTCACATGCATGCACCCAAGGCTACATGATTCACACCTACACTTGAGCCGACTTTCCTCAATGTTCTTCACCAGAAGAGGAGGAACGTGCGAGAATACGAGTGAGTCGTATCAATTGAAGAGATTAGAGAGTCGTGACAAAAGCAAGGAAAAATTGCAAACTTACTTTCACTTGCGCAGGTCTTATTGTTTTACCGGGCAAAATCGAATGATGCGAAAACATTCCATCTTGAGCGTGGTTGTTTGCTTCTGTGCTGTGGCATGATGAAGCTCTTTCAACTACGATGAATCACCTTTCCTCCCTCATCCCTCCATTCCTCGCTGAACTGAGCGACGCACAGACTTGATTGATTTGCGGCCAACTACGAGTTACGCTGTGGGTTGAATTAAATTGAATTAATGCCTTCTTTTACCTGGCGAGACTCGGGCCATCAGGCCCGCTCTTCTGTCTGACCACGGAAATTTTGCTACGCTCCTTTCATCAACTAGTGGAGAAAGGGGGTATTTCTTGGGCGAGAAACAAGGGATTTGAATTTAGCTCAGAGGCATCATTTAAGCTTGAAGATCTTTTACATGCAAGTAAATCTACTAACATGGGACGGCCGGCTTTACTTCCCCTCCGAAAGACGGCGTAGGAAGGATTTTTTCGCCCTTTCGGTCGGGTTTAAACCCGCAGCATGGGTATAACAGTCCGATACGCTAGCCATTACACCATCGCTGCCACAACGCATTGTCCTCCTCATCCACCAAGTACCACCGTTGAAATCCTCTTCCTTCCACATCAAACATACATAGGGACTCTTCCCTGTACCGATTATAATCGGCCAGGATAGGCCTATAGGGTACTTCGGCAATTGAAGTAAGCATAGAACGAGCTGAAATGAGCCTGCGGGCCTCCTCTAGCAGCCGTGGTGAGGGAAAGTCCCGTTCCGACGTCGTAAAGAAGGAAATCTGCCAAGGGCGACACGGCGGGATGTTCCGGCAGACTGTGGAGATCGGGAGTATTACCGTAGCCGCGGTGAGTGTGTCGAATAAAGAACCTAACCAAAACAATCCAGCAACAACATAAGAAGGAAAACTACCAGTGAATAATATATTCTCTTAAATACGTGTGCTGGAAAATTTAACAAAGCGTCAAATATCATTATCATGTACGTATGGCTGTCAAGTTGCCACTATTTGCTTGTTTGTTCGATTCCACCACTCTGCTATGTGTTCAGCCAAGAGATGCAGCTTGGAGATTTTCCTCTTTGGACGACAGGAGCAGAAGTGAGGAATGCGATGCGCAAGATAACGGGGCAAAGTTTGCTGCAAAATCTCTGCGCCGTCTCTGCTGCTGCTGAGTGTATCAGAGGCCGCGGAGTTTTTTCCTTGTTCGATAGCCACACGGAACTGATACCACTTCGCCCGGCGGTCGCCCCCGCGCAGGTCCTCAGAGTTCGCATTTGTTTACATCAGGGCTGCCCAAAGTACGAGGGGCCTGCCGCATCCGGCACGTAAACAAGGCCCATCCTCTTCGCATTGTTCGGACTGAGAGGCCGAAACACAGAAGGGAGTATAATTATTGTTTGTGGAATGAGTAGAGAAGAGGCCTTACCACAGAGATTGTTTGCGGAATGAGTAAACGGAAAACTTTCACAGACTTCATTATCCGAGGTTATCTACTTGAAAAGACGTGTTGGCACACGTGTAGCCTTTACTTGCAAAGAACCCTCTAGTCAAGTAGCGATTAACAGGTAATAATTGCGTAGTGACTAGAAAATGAAAATTACTTGCAGATGTTGCTGCGCAAAATCTCGCGTAAATGTGAAGGTCCCAAATATTATATTTGTGTGTTCGAACGATCTATAACAGCGGGTGTAAGAGTATTTTCAATCTGGAAAAGTTTAGGGTGTCATTTCAATTTTAATTTTTCCCACTGCCTTGTGTTTCGTTCTTCTTAACGTTGCCAATGTATTCAAGCTCATTCATTTCTCTTCACGGTCCACATAGCTAATAGCCAATCACTTGCGTTGGCTGCCACTCCAGCCTTGGTAAACCTTGACGTATTTTAAACGCGGAAAAAAGAATCTTTCTCGATTCTTTTCCGGATTTCAGATCGTCACGTACTCTGTACATACAAGTATGCGTACTTCCGCAATCTTCTTTTATCGCGTGCCCCTTCCGTCCTGGTCGGAGCAGGAATGTTTTAGGTAAAGTGTGGCTCAATATACCACCTATATTTGGTTTTGTACAAGGTAAATCGCACTATTACGTACATTTCCTTGTCGCTTTAAGTGTTGTTTGATAAGAATGTGATACAAAATGAGTACTACACGAAGCTAACGTATTGCTAAAGAATCTAAAAAAGCAGGATGTTGGTTGAATATTATATGACTTGGTGTATCTTATCGTTCATCTTGATTAAGTTATTTTGCAAACTAACCAATGACAGGTAATGGCCCAACCCGTTCGTTTGGGGATTACTATCAACTTTCCAAAACGTGAAATAGCACAATTTTTCTTTGTCCACGTTATGTCACTGAAATTTGCCAGATGCTAGAAGATACGAACCTCGGAACCTCAGACCTGTTTCCGAGACCCTACTGATATACTATTATTCTCAATTTAACTTATAGATTCTAATTATAATGCAGAAAGTTTCAAAATGGCTTAGATGTTGCTCATTTGGAATGCACTCGAAAAATATAATTCACTGAAGGAGGCATCCCATGGATAAGTAAACTAAACAAGAGGAAGGGAAATCAAAAACATGGTTTGAATAATTAATGACGGATCAAGTAGTACTGATACTTTTTTGGAGGTATTTCTATAAGTTTAATGAATTATCTTGCTTTTCACACAGACTGTTTTAGTACCGTATCTTTATAAAAATGTAACTGAATTTAAATAATACAACTTCCTTGGCCCTGTCCTAGTCCTAGTATTATACTGTGACATTGTGATTTTAATTTTTTTAAATTGAATTGAATAAAAAATTGAAAGTCTATCTCTATCAAGTTCATAAAAAAGCCGGTAGTGTTTGTAAGATATTCATATAACCGAGTACGTCGTTGTCAAGTGTATTACTCGTTTTTACAGAGATACCCATTTGCATTCCTAAAACAGTCTCCAAGAGAAATCGAACTGAAGGAACAATTTAATGAAGTTGTATTTTCTGCCGAGACGATTCAAATGAAATTTAATTGCCAGATTCCTTAGGCCTCGCAATCCACATGGCGGCTGCGGCGGCGCTTCTCCTAAATTGCAAAGGCTGATTGCGGCTGGGTGTATATTGCATCTCTTATACCGGTTTTCTTAATCCTAGTTGCGTCACCGCCCGCTTCTCTCTCTCTCTCTCTCCGCGCGGGGCGGCGCTACCTTCCTCTGCGTCGGATTCCTGGCGCCCGTGGCCCCGGTGGCGCTGGTTCCCACGGCGGCGGCGGGTTCCCACGGGAGAGCCCCCAGCGCCGCCGCCGCCGCCGCGCTCGCCCGCCCGCGAGGGGGTGGACAATAACACCGTCACGCACTAAAGCCTTCTTTGGCCGCCCTCCCGGCCACGCCAGCGGACGCCGCCGCCGCCTCCGCTTTGTGTACACTTGGCTGCGGCGGCGCCGCCGCGCCGCCCGGCTGACTAACAGAAGGACAGGAGCGCCCGCCTCCTGAGGTTCCAATGGGCTGTAAACGCCGCGGGAAGCCCGTGCTGGCATTTGCGATCTGCTCTCGCCCGACCGGCTCCTCCGCACAGGCCAGAGAGCTCCACTTGCAGTTCTCAGCGGATGCATTTAAACGTCACCTCATGCAAACAGGTTGTTGATTTTATTTTCTGTGAGTTTTTTTATTTTACTTTGCATTAAAGGTATCGATCGGTGTTATTTTCTTTTTTACCATTTTTTTCAGTTTCCTGAACCCTGCGATTTTTCTTTTTTATTTCTAATGTACTGCAATATAAAATCAAACGGGAATCATCAAACTTCGATTTCTTGAAACATCATCTTTGATTTTCTTGATTCTCAGTTTCAAATTCAGATTAGCATGATTTTAAACTGCAAGGAAATTAAGAGTTGTAGACATTCATTAGGAGGTTGCCTTCTATGTATATCTTTTCGAGGCTCTCTTTCTTCCCTGCTCTAATATCTAACTCCTGAATCACGTAATTACCAAAAATTGGAGATTACATAAAAAAATTTAATACCTCGTTACAGGAAGCGCTTTTCTGTTGAGGAGAGAGAGAACCAAAATGTGGCATAAAGGTTCAGCGAGTTGCAGAGTAAATGAATGACCCGGATGTTGATCATAAACATTTGTAAAGGGTAATTTTTACAATAACTGAAAAAAATCTTTTTAAAAATTTCAAATACATACACGCTTAATAATAATAATAATAATAATATATCAAAATAATAGTAATAATAATAACGGTAATATTAATAACAGTAATAATATAAATAATAGTATTACTAATAATAGTAATATTTATTATTATTTACTATTATTATTACTATTATTATTATTATTATTATTGTTATTATTAAGGTTCATCAAGCTGTAAGCCCTATACAAGGCTATAACGAGGCTTCAAAACTATAGAACTGACAAGATCGAGGTAGTCCCATAATAATACTCACGGAAGTTAAGACCCGTTCTTCTATGGTAATGACGTGTCTAATTTAAATGAAGTCAACATCTAAAGAGATTATATTGTTCGCAAACTTATTCTCCTTTCCAATTTATTAGAAACATATAATAATTATTTATACTTACTGCTTTCTTCCATATTCTATTTATGAAACGTATCTCATACCAATCATGTACCTTCATGGTAATTTTATCCATTGTCAAGAATAATGATAAATACTCCTCTCACCCTTTTGCTCGTTACAAAATACCATAATTTAAATTCAGTGCTCCACGTGAAAGCATTTTATTGTTTACTGATAGTTTTTCGTTACTATACGTGTGTTTACGATCTCACTATCGTTGTGTCCTACTTACGAAAACAGCATGTTTCTCTTTTGATCGTGGTTCAGGGATCGTGGTACATCCTGCACTACAATGTTGAAGATTCAGATTTTTTTCTTTCGTTCTCAATTTTTTCTTCAAAGACAGGTCATTAAATGCAATAATGTACAATTTTTAAAAAAACATGGGTGATTTTCTCGTAATTTGTGCTTGAAATGAATACAAAACAATATTTTCTGAAAACGGGTTAAATATTTTCCTCTTTTTTTCCTGATAACAATTATGCAGATATTATTTTGTCAAATTCTCTCAACTTTAAAAAATTGTTAAGTCAGAAATAATGCGATAAAGTACATGCTGTGGCAGGCTTCTCCTCATTGTTTGCCTCATTTTTTGGGTGAGACAAATCTTACTTTTTTTGGTGAGTGATTTTTGAGCAAATCAAATATCTTAGATCGGATAGTTGTATAACTTTCATTTATACCCTAAGACACATTCTAACTAGTTTCGTACAGGAACATTTTTTCTTCAAAAAATGATGCACAATTAAAATAAATGATCCAGTTAGGCTATATTAAAAAAAAAGAACGAAGCTTTGGTAAATAATTACACGGTATCTAAGTAGAACTTTTGAACTAAGCTCTTTGCCTTGTTTGTGCCTCAGACTTTTATCATAGTACTCGTAGGAAAAAGGTACATACATTGCTAAAGCATATATTTTAAAGTCGTTAAAAAATTAGAATAAAGTATGTTTGCATGCAAAATAAACCATTCGAAAAAATGATAGAGTGAATTACAATTACTAACCAAAACTAATTAATCATGCCTATAGAATACAACTTTTAAATTAATAAATTGAAATATTGTGTGTAATGAAGAATATATACTTACTTCAAGTATTTTATTTGTAGTTTATTAAGCTATTTTTTTGCAATAATGTACTCATGGTCCTCCAACCCCTCTGTAAAGCCAATGGTACATATTCGAATATAAAGTTTTTACTAATTTTCTGAAGTAAGATAAGTAGTTCAATATATCAATTGTTACAATTATAAATGTAAGTCAACAAATAACAATATATTTTATTCAGCATTAATAAAATTAATTATTATTATAAAAGTATTTATAAGAAAACGTGTAGTCACTGTTCACTGTATGCAGAGTACCCCCCAGCCCGAGAAAATTGTATGTCTGATTTTAGGTATTAGTATTGACTTATTAGTAAATTTGAATATTATTTACTCTGAAAAAATGTACCTAAAAAGTTAGAATTCCAATATTTAAGACCTACTATATCTCTTCTCTAAGATATTATGTAACTGCACAGTGCATTGGATAATGTACTTGCGATAACTTTCTCCAAGCCCTTTGCGACAGGATGAACATATGAGATAAATGTAAGACACGGCGGTGACCGCACGCCGCTTATTACGTAATATTTCCTTTGTAATCAGAATTGCAATCTCATTGGCATCATATAAATGTCACTTTTTCATTTCTTGATAAATATTTTATATTATACATACGAATATAGTATTCACATTATTAGACAAAGAACTATTCACCTGATTAAATTTGGAATGTTCCTTTCCTCAATTTTTTTTCAAAAATCGACTATGCTTGTATATCTGACATACTGTGATCTCTTTTCGATAACAGAGTGTTTTTCTCATTACATCATTCAGCAGATCGGTAACATAGTGACTGAAGAACTCTCTGCTGAAAACTACCACGTAGCGACACTACTTGGTTTTGTAGAGTTTTGGATTCGTTTCAAAATTTTGAATGGCTAAATTTTCTTTGCTATCCAGGGTTTTAAAATCCTTCACTTTGTTGCTTATCTTCCAATAAAAACTTTTCTGTGTTATAAGAAAATAATACACTACTCGTAAATAAAATCTCCTAGTACAAAACCCAGTAAATTAATGAGTGAACGATATAAGTTCTGTTTCGATAAAAGGGTGGATGATGAATGATATTTGGGAAGCAGCGAAGGTGGGGTATTTCTTTGCGCGCGATGAATAAGACATGTTAGCACAGATTCAGGTTTAGAGGGAGATTTCCGCTGGAGTGGACCTTCCTGAGCGCGTTCAGGAAGCCGACATTTCGCAGCTCTGTACTGACAAACATGTCTAAATCTTACGAAGGAATCTCTTCTGAAGGGATTCTCTTAAGAAGGGATCACTTCCACAAAGTCACATTTTTATGTTTCCAGACATGGAATTTTTCTACATTTTTTCGCTTCTCGACTCTCCTAAATATCTTCATTTGCTTCGGGGTCTGCACACAGATTTGAAAATCTGGAGTCCGTTAGCTCAACGTCTACGGAGACTTTTCGAACCACTGAACTTTAAAGTGTGATACATGGAACAAACTCTGCGGTCCTACGAAATTATATTTCCGCTCTAATGAGATATATTCGCTCCGTCAGGGGCGACGCGAGGATGGTGAAAGATATTACATATTATGGATGGTGAAAGATGAGGATCGTTTTCTAGCTACGAATATGGGAGTCAAAATCTAATAAATGCTAGAAACTCATACGGCGTGAGATAAGACTTCCAGCAATACAGTGTCTGCTAGAAGTACACTAATGAACGCTGAGATCCAACCGCCCGTGAAATATACGATTATTTTGTAAACAGTTTCGTCATCTCATGGATCTTCAAACCAGATAATTGTTTTTACGAAATTTCTATACATACTTACTGAAGTGTATACAAGATTATTCAAATTTATAGCCAACATTTACCTATATTTTAAAAAAAATTATGTCTCTGAGATCTGTGATGTAATTACAATATTAATCTGAAAAATATAACTTTGCTACTTACAAGACCTAGTAATTAAAATTTTCTCAGAAGTTGGAAATATTCATCGAGAGGTTTCTAGGATTTTCATTTTCTTCTAGTACTGAATTTCGGATTTCCAAAAAAGTATTAATTGCCTTACGCCTTGCATTTAGTGTATAAGATATAATACAGAATTACACAATATTTACGATAGTATAACAAGTTGATATTTTTCTAACACATGTCTCATGATAAAGCATATCCATCATAAATAGATTTTTACATAGTTCTCCTTTCCACGTGCAATCAATTATTGCTTTCACCTTTGTTCCTTGCCTTAGGTTATTCCGGGAGTTTGATAAAGGCTTCTAAGAATTATCAACGTACAAGCTCCAGACAATCCTCATTGAGTGGAATCTTTATTCACGAAGAATCACTGCGTTCATTGAACTTTGTGTGCAAAATAAGTGAATTCAGGGTCTGTTACCAATAGTTTTGAATATCTAGGTAATATTTCAAGACCTAGTAATCGTGTCAACAAGTTTTACGTTCCTATCATTATATCACATATTTTGTAACATAAATAAGTGATATTTCACGATGTGCTAAAGTTTTAGCATATCAGTATAACATTTGTAATTTAATGAAATTCATAAGTTCTGAATTTGCGACGAAGACCGACGCATCGTGAGGGCAGGTTGGCAGACCGCACGGCCACCAGCGCCGAGATACAAGAACATGTGGCCCCCAACGTGTCTCCACGCACCGTTGGGAACCGGTTATTTGCTGCAGCATTACAATCGCGCATACCGCTAGCCCGACTGCCACTCACGCCGAACCATCGTCGGGCACGTCCGACGTGGTGCAGTTCGTGAGTCAGCCACTGGCGGATTTAGAGGGGGCCATGCCCCCCAAGGCCTAAAGTTTTCGTTTACCTTCCTTTATTTGGCAAAATT